CCGCCCCTAAACCTACCCGTCACTGGGGTGTAGACAAATCGTACAAAATCGTACGAGTGAGGTCGTACGAATTCATACGAATTAGCCACCTCGTAAAATACGTACGAATTGGTCGTGAGATAGCGTTGAACCTACTACATGCTTGTCGTTGGCGCCAATAGCCTTGTGGTTAGTACGTCGACATACAGCGCAGCTGCGCTCATGGCGACCCGAGTTCGATTCCCGCCTCGAGGTCCTTTGCCGATCCTGCTTTCTCTCTCCACCCAGTGCTTTCCTGTCGTCACTCTACAGAAGTGAAACCGATTTGTTTGTTTAAAAGTAGAGGATCTGTTCTTTATTTTGATGTATTTATTGCATGTTCAGATATTCATGCAACAATGTTCTTGGGGCCATGAACTTTTAGTGAAAATCATCAAAAACGCTTGCAGTGGCTGGCAACTTTTTTCAAAAACGCTGGCAGGGAAAGAGTTAAACTTTTTATTTGGAGTACTACTTGTGCACAATGCACATTTCTTAATATTAAGCCAAAAATGGCTTTTAATGCCACTATTGCTGAGGATTGTATGATCTTTGAATAATAATGCAAGATATTTAAAGTGTACCTAAACTATCTTTGCAATAGTTCAACTTTAGCACAATCAAATATACTTCGGTTCATCTTTAGTTGGACTACTTCCGCACAATTAAACCGCATTAAGCACAAAATTAGTAGTTCCAATTTAGCAGACTTTAAGTATACCAGTTTAGTATACCAACAGTACAATTGCAGGGTATTTTTATTAAGCTCATAAATATGTAAATTTATTTGTAGTATGCTTGGCACAAATAAATGTATTTCAAATACATTTTAGTATTTCTTTTTCACTAGGGTAGTCCTGACGTTCCTGAAATCTCATTCTCAGTGGCCTTTTGCAAACGTTAAACTTTCGGCATCATTTACACGCATTTCTTTCCTAACTTTAGTGGAACACAAAAGGCTTTTTTTTAATACCTTTTAAATCTGAATGGTTTCAGATGCTGTCACGCTCTGAACTTCCAGTGTGTGTCATAGTTCTTGTTGGCAGCTATATTTAGAAAGCAAGATTGAGTCAGTAACACTGTTTGTCTGTATTAGTATCCTGAATGCACCTGGAAATCACTGCATGCCATATGTTGCATATAGTGACACCTGGATAAGTAAATAAACCATTTTGTTCTGTCTTTAGAGTTGCAGATTTCAATGGAGAGGTCAGATGACATTGAAGCCAGGAAGTTACGCAACAACAGTAGCCAGTGTAAGTAGAGTATTTGATTTTATGAGATATTTGATTTTTCTTAAAACACAAAACTGTGATTGATTATGGCAATACGAAAACATGTATAGGATGCATTTCACCCCAAAACTATTTTCATGACCGTTAAAATTCCCATGATGTATGAATGCAATTTAAATATTTGTGTTTCAGTAATACACATCTGTTCAAAAGTTTTTGAAAGAAACAATCTTACACATTTTATAATGTTATTATAAAAGGTTTAGATTTTTAAAAATGCTGTTTTGTTGAACTTTCTATTCATCAAAGAATCTTGAAAAAATCAGGCAATTACCAGATGTGTATATATATATTTTTTTATTTCTGTTGTTTGATTTTGGGGTGAAATATGACCTGGACTTTCGTGAGATTCACCCGCAGCTTGTTTTGCCTAAAACTAGGCAAAGTCCTCTTGCTAATGTAGCTAGCTGTCAGCTGAGCGCCGCTCCCTGCCTGTATTAAAGGCTGTTGAGTGGCTGCATCGGCTCTGGAAGAATGCGAGGGGTGTGTGGGTTTGTGATATAACCAACCACATTGCCACAAACAATGCTCTCTTGTCTGGCAGCCATCTGATCGCTTGCACTCCTCTGAATGTGAATGTCTCTCTTTTCCTCATCAGCGGTGGTTTACCCCTCCCGCTCTGTTTGCTTGATGTTGTTTTCATGCTCTACAATGTTGGCAAGCAACAGCTGGATTTTTTGCCTTTAGGCCATTATAGAAACATTTGTGGGAACATGAAGTTAAGAGTATAATAACTTTCAGCATGCCGTTCTGAGAGCACAGATTTGTTACTTGCTTTCTTTAGGGTCATGTACTATTTTATCATTTTAAAATATTTAGGTGTCTTTCTGCATGTTTCGCTTATGCCGCTTTCTTCTCTCTCTCTGCATAATCACGCAATCATAGTCACGTCCAAAAACAAGCTGGCTGTGTTTTCCTGCTGTGTTTTTAAGACTATGTAAATATCCTCTTCACAAGTGAAATGAGATTCAAATGCAGTGAGATGAAAGCTTATTCGCAGGCTGTGTTTTCTGTTCAGGTCAACCCTTGTGAAAAACAAATGCACTTTTTAGCATACTTTCAAAAACTGAAATAATGTACTTTGCAAGATTAAACCAGTATAATGTTTTCTGACACTTAATTGCATGTTACTTACAAATTAATTAAACGTACTAATGTATATTAAGTGCAATTCGTTGAACTTAGAGTGATCATTTGACCTATCTTCGTATGTAATTTCATAATTCTATTGTCTTTGAAATATGGTTAAAATGTACTCCTGAATGCAGTGACAAGCCTTTATGGTAAACTAAAACCTACTTACTATGTAATTACTATGTCATTTCTATTTCAATATATTTGTAATTACATGTTGTAATGATGAAGTTGCACTTTAGTACATTTAAATTATATTAACTTTTAATGTAATATTGAATAACGCAATACAGTTAAAGTAATCAAGTACTTCACATGTGCTTTAGCATGTTAGTCAACACATCAAAATAAATGTACTTGAAAGATGATTTAAAAGTGGAACTTTTGGCATTTAATTTGACATTATTACAAAGTGCACAAAGTCTACTTGGGTGTATTAAGAAACATACATAGACACTTTCATGACTAAGTACACTTAAGTATTGGGCTTTTATTTAGTTAAAATTGTATTACCTGCAAGTACAGTGTTTTGAAAATATACTTATTTTAAGTACACTACAAGTGCACATCAAGTACAGTTACGTGCACTTCCTTTTAGCACAAGGGAAGTGTAGCTCATAACTGCCTCTTTGTAGAACCGCATTACATTGTGAAAGATTTATGATTCATAAAACAATATGCAGAGCAGCAGTTCATACACCCAGCCAGGAACGGCACATGGTTTGGTGAACTGCATCTATTCAGTTTTCTCTCTGCATTCGGTTTCCATAACTGGACTTTTTGTTTGTTTGTTTTGTACAAATCATCGTTCAGGAATCTAGAATTGACCTGTGACCTCAGAAATCTAGCTCAGTTCAGTGGTTATTTCAAACGGTCCATGAAGGTTCTATTTCTCATGATTTAACTCCTATGAGATGAAATTGCACATTAATTTGAATCTTTTTTTTTTTTTTTTTTTCTCTCACTTTCCCTGCAGCTTTCTCTCCGAGTTTGCAGGAAACCGGTGTGCCGATCACGTCGAACGCTCCTTTACTCCCCAGCAGCATACGAGCGTGAGAGTGTCCCGTGCATCATTTTCATTTCCACACCTCCATAAACGAGGAATAATTTGTCTCCGTGAGGAATATGTCCTCTGGCTTGGAGTCAGTGGCTGATTTTGAAGTATACCCCTAAAAATTGTGATTTCATGGGTAGTTTTTTTTAACATATCTGAAATGGTAGGTGTATTTATGCTTCTCATTTTCATAATTTCTTGAGATGGATGTGTGATGTATGCCGTAAGCCGACAAATGACTCGCTGAGAATGAAGAATAAGAAACCGTCTGACCTCTTTATTGCCAGCATGATGCACATATACTGTAGGAGCAATATGGCCTGATTCTTTCATAGTGATTTAACTTTCCATTCATTTCTGAGATATTTCATCCAAAAAATGAAACTTCTGTCATTTATTAACCCTCACGCCATTCCAAAATTGTATAGTTTTCCTCCTTTCATAAATCACAAGTGGTGAATTTGAGGAATATCGTGGCCACTCTTCAGTATATGGAAACTCTCACAAAAACAAAAATGGTTTGGTTGATGGTTTGGTCAAAACACAATGGTTTTTGAAGACTTGTAATGTAGCGAATAAGTCATATTAGACTACTTTTTAATGGTATCCCCAACGAATGGCCAGAATATTCTTCAGAAAACTCAGCTTCGTGTTGCGCTGAAGAAACAAAGGGTTGTGCAGGGTGAGAAAAATGAAAGTTTTCATTTGTACATTTTTGACTTTTGAATAGTGAACTTTACTGCTAAGATGAAGAATATATTGGTCAAATGTTGGCACTTGAGTGAAAGTTTGGCTGTGCCAAGTTTGTTGGACCACACAAAATGCTTTGAGCCGGAATGAATGTTGAAGAGTTTTAAATGGGCCTGGGTGCTTATTTAAACGTCCATAGAAACAACTTATGCACTTGCCATATGCAAAATCTAGCATAGCATCTAATCAATGCTTTATTTGCATGTATATTTTAATGGTGCAAGAGTAATTTGTTAGGAAAAAAATTTCTCTTATGTAAGACTGCTATGTTTGCTTAAATAATAATAAAATCTCTGTTGCTTGGTAAACGTGGATTCAAAAATAGATTTCATGTTACATAGGGAGCATGAGACCAGCTGAAAACTATGCAAACTGAATTAAAGTAGTTTGCATTTGCGTGTGCCTTCAGTGAAGACGTCAGCAGAGTAAATGCACTGTGTTCAATCAATTGCGCTAACATTCACACTCTACTCCAATGCATCTGAAGTATGCAAATAAAGACATTAATCCATCATACATACTGCGGCGCAGGTGAGGCAGGAAACGGTGCCAGAACACAACTATTTAAATGATGATTCATAGGACACAATTCTGGCTACGTTTACATGCACAGTTTTTGGGTTCAATCGGACTGAATTCATTCCGATTGATGAATCTGAATGTAGTGTTTACATGAACGCTAAAGAAAGTGATCGGGTTGATGTGCGTGTTTATATGTCACAAGCTTCAAATCGGAATTGATTTTTTTTTTTTTACATGCGCAAATAGCTATAGAGTTTCTCACTGTTTGCACATAATAACCACTCTCCTACA